GTATATATAAGATTTACTCTTTAATTTAACGATGGTATATGTATGATCTCGAATTCCTGGAATTTAATCTCTCCCTTGCCTTTTCACATACCATTTGAATCCTTTAGTCGTCCTCATTTAATGTGTTTCCAACATGGTTGGAGTAGTTAAGGCTAGAAGTAGTGTTTAGTCTGGATTCCATTCGGCCGGTCTATCTAATTGCCGTTCTTTTAAAGGTAGACATGTTCAAGTCAATACAAGTTTTCAACATGATGAATGAGATTCTTATATTTGAGCATGAAAACTCTTGAAAATCTGACCACAAAAACAGAAAGAAAAAAAGGAAGTACCAAGACTTCTTGGTGATTGTGTTAAAATGAGTCTTAATGAACGCACATCAGTTGACTAATACTTTCCAGACCCAACAAAAGCCACAAAAAGAAAAAGGAGAAAAGATCATAATAACTATGAAATGTTATAGGCTATGAAATGTTTAACAAGAAAAAGTGTCTTAGGTATAAACATGAAAGACTGATCTTGCATCCAGTTGAAAATTGAAAAAAAAAAAACCATTCCAGATTATTTCTTAACTTCCATGTAATTATTATTATTTTTTTTTGAAAAAAAGAAGGACTTGTCCGAGAGTACTATCAATAGAAAATTGATGATATCAGTTATAGCCAACGTAAATTTTTCTTTTTGGGGAAAAATTGATGATAATATTGGTCAAGCAGGAGGATTTTCCAACTCCGCGTAGTTGGTGAGATGGAGTGTTGACATGCTAAACAAGCAATAGGCCGACCGAATTGATATCATACCACAGACTACAACTGAAATAATTTCAATTTGTACCTTCTTGAAATTTGGTCAATTGCCTCTATGCCAAGGTTATCGGCCAATTTTGTCCTATCATTTTATTGTCTAATTCAATGAAAACAAAAACCCCTCTACCTCTGCCTAAGGAAATCTTGAAATTCTTATTGACAATGAAACTTCTAATTGATTAGATCTAGCTAGATAATAGCCTTTTAATCTAGATTGATATGTCAAAATTTTCAAACTGTCCACGTGCAACCCATTGTGAATTACAGCTAGCAAGTCACTGATGAGGCAGATTAAGAATTGACAAAAAAAAAAAACAAAGGATGTTAAGATATTGATAATTAAAGTGCTCTAACAAAATTTCTAGCATTGGACCAATAAAATCAATTACATACGAGAAATTCAAAAAAAAAAAAAAGAGCAATCTCAACACTCTTCTGTAACTTTAAAGCAAATGAAGAAGTAAACATAGCACGTTATATAAATCATAAATAATAGTTTAAGACAAAGGGATATATATGCTCAAGCTACATTACACTTGTGGATCTTCATGACACTAGCTAGGATTGGCATACTGCCATAGAATTCTGAGAGGATTATGCATGCATACATAAGTTGGTTCAATCCATAAGAATGGATCATTTTTTTTTTAAAAGATTGTATATTTGAATTTTACTGTCAATATGAAATTATATTAGTGGATGACGTGTAAGAATTTCTATAACCAATCTATAGTTTCGGGAGCATGCCTTGATTTGTAGTGATGACCGGAGTCGAACGTACTCAAAACTTTTAATTACAAAATGAAAAAAAATTCTGTGAAGACATGTAACAATCTTTCGAGGGTATTAAATTTGATGTTTTGGGGGCAACACTTTTAATAGTAAAGGACATAGTCGAAAAACTTTCGGTATCTATGTATATACATATATATATATACCACAAAATCATAATACAGCCTCAACAGAACCGAACCTATACTTTTCTTCTTGTAACACAAGGGGCCATAGTTAAGTTTACAGGGTCTCTTCAGAGAAAGGAGTTTAATTCTATATACAGTAAAAATTTTTTTAATGAATATTCAATACGTGCTCATAAATACATACGATCATAATTATTGTATTCTTATATTTAAATATTTTTTAAAAATTATATATATATATATATTAAAATTAGCATGTAGAACTCCTCTTAACAAAACACCCGTTGACCTACAGTTATAATCATGATAAATTTGACCTTTTTGTGGGAGACAGCATGGCGCTTGTACGTGTAAGGATTTACTTATTTAACTGCCCGTGTCCTTGTTTTGTCACTTAGTTGGAGTGTCTTTGCACCTGGATATAATAATACAAAGACAGAGCCGAGCTGGAGATCATATGTGTTAAACGGGAAAATCATATCGATATCTAGGGATGTACGCGAGTCGAGTCATAATCGAGTAGTTCGGTTAACGGCTTGACTTAAACTTGGGTTGATCGAATTCGAGCCGAGTCTCGAACTACTCAATTGTCATTCGAGTCGAGTTTTGAACTAATATTTTGAGACTCGAAACTTGGCGAGCTACTCGTCGAGTCGGAAGTATTTAAATAATATATATGTATTATAATTATAAAATGACCATTATGGATATAAGTTTTACGAAATTTACAATAAACTTTTCTTTATAATAAAATTCAAGAGTCAGTCGAGTTGAGTCAAAAAGCTTGATTAGGCTCGACTTGATAAGGTTTGACTAAAGGTCGAGACTTATCGAGTCGAGTCTCGAGTTTAAAGCGAGTTTCTCGAGTCAAGTTTCGAGTATAGATTTTTTGTACTCGGTCGAGCTCGAGTCGAGCTCGAGCCTAGGTATATATGAGTCGAGTCGAGCTCGAGTATAGCAATACTCGAGCTTGACTTAGCTCGATTACAACCCTATCGATACCTATATATTCTAGTGTTTTCAAGATAATACCCTGAATAGTTTATACGTAATTTTTGGTGTCCTAAACAGTATATAGAAGTAAGGGAAAAAAAAATGCTTGTAGTTTTGGTAAGAATCTCAGGCATTTCATCGCGTGAAATCCTAGGATTCTACCATTACTTTTCAAGCGTTTGAGAAAATATTATACTTTCTATGATACCCAAATTTGAAGTAAAAACAGAAACCTATAATTTTTTTTTAATGTGAAATATCAAACTTGGAAACCAGCCGTGTTAGATTTCTTGCCATCTAAACCCCGGGGTTGGTGGGGGTTACTTAACTCTTAGTAGAAGCCACCCTGCTAGGCTTGCCCCTGTGAGGGTTCTTTCCCACATCGGTAATGGGTAGATAAGTCCCTTGGGCGCCTTTAAAAGTTGCCGGCTTTTGAAGGTTGCTCGAAGATCTAGATTTATCTTGCCGAATTCTTGAGTTTCTTCAAGAAATGTCAGAAAAAAAAAACCCCGGGGGGATGGTGGGGGGGGGGGAAGGGGATGATGTAAAAGAGGTGTAAACAAATTTGTAAAAGAAAATGACTAAGCTAAACAAATAAATTCGGGTAAATAGTGCCCTTATTATGTTGATGAGAAATTTTCATCTAAACAGAACTGATCATTTAATAGAACCTCAAATTTGACTATGCATTAAAGATAGGGCGCTAAAAGTGCATGAATGTAATAAACCTGTTTAATTTATTGCCTCATTTCAAAACAACGCATAACCACTCGTCTCTTCCTCTAAAGTTCAAGAATTTGTCTTCTGCGGATGCGCAGCATGCGCTTTGACAGTGAAGTTCTTGAAAATTTGTCCTCTGCGGATGCGCCCTGATAATCAAATTCTTCGAGCCATCCTAATGCGTGCAATATTGATTAAATGTGTGTGTATTTAATGGATTTCGGTTCTTGTCGTTGTAGGTACATGCATGATGCAACTACAAACTATACAATTTATACACATCAATTATGCCCATAAAAATCTACATTTTGGAGAAAAAGGAATTAATGGATGTAAATGAATTTAATCAAACCGAATACCTTAGTGTTCAATCTTGTTTGATTATTTTAACGAATCTGAAAGTTTCTTCAAAATTGACTTGTTTATTTGCCAAACCGAATTTGACTTGTTTGGCTTGTTTATTCGTCAAAAACCAAATTTGAACCCTACATGGACAATGTCAAGGAGGAATTTGTGGCCTCACAAGTTTCATTTCACTCCATTTCAGGAAAAAAAGGTCATTTAAAATTTTTTATACCATATTATAATTTATTTACAATTTACTTATAATTTATTTATATCCTAGTCCAACTTATTTACACTCAAAGACAAACTTGTTTGAAATGGAATTTGTGAGGCACATCCGCATCTAGGAGAGAGATGGCCAGCAAATACAAGTTAGGGATGTGTATTGAATTTGAAATCGGTAATTCAAAAGTCTGAATTTGAAAATTTCAATAAATTGAACTTGGTAAATTTTGACATATTTCATTTCGAATTCAAAACTTTCGAATTCAAATTCGTTTTGAATTCAATTCGGAATTTATATTAAAAAAAAACTGGTTTGGAATTTATTTAAAAAAAAAACCTAGATTAGACAGTTAAAGGTATTATACTATTATTATTATTATATAATATAATGGCTTACATTTATTATATTGTATTATACATATGAAATTAAAAATGAATTAGGTAATCGAATTCCGTTTATGATTTGTGAATTCAAGATCAATATTTCAGCTTTTAAGAATCATGGCCCTGAATTCGAACCAATTTCGTCACTTCGAATGTGAAAACTCCGAATTGCTTTTTCCGTTTTCTGAATTTTTTACTTCAAATTTCAGAATTCAAATCACATTTAATCGAAAAATCAGAATTTTTCAGATTTACACACCCCTACAAGTAGCCGGCGATTTCCCATTGCTTATAGTAGTGCACGCTAGCAATGACGTGCATGAACAGTCTTTTTATATTTAATAACTCTATAAATTGTCGAGGACACAGTCAATGATCAATGTTCTCATGTATATTGTTTGAAGGGTTTATCTAACGCGCTCATTAGTTACTCATTAAAATGCACTTCAGGGTATGTTTGGTTTTCCATGGAATTGGGATTTAGAATTGGAATTGGAGCCCCAATTCTAAATCTTGTGTTTGGGTACTACCTTTCCGATAGAATTAGAATTGAATTGCAATTCTATATTGATCGAATTCCACGGTTCCAATTCTTTGACTAGACCAAAGAATTCCAATTCCAATTCTACGGCCAGACTCCCATTCGGATCAACGCGCGGACTTTAAATGGATAAAAACTCCAAAACGGGTCAACTATAAAGCTGGATTAAAAGAAAACAAAGCTGGCTTCTTTCTCTCTCTTCATGAGCGGATCGCCATACCTACCCTAATCTGCTCTAGCGTTCTTTGCCGACGCTGCCTCCTCCTTTTCCTAACACCTCTCCCGGAACCCCTCCAGGCCTTTCCTACTCCTTCTCTCCTCTGCAGCATCGAGTGGGTGAAATTTACAGATTGAGTTATATTTTGGTCTCCTTTCTTTCGTTTCCTACCTATCTTGAATTGTGCCTCCCACCTTTACCTTTGCCATTACTTCCATTGCTGTCACCATCGCGATCGCATCCTCTCATCCTCACTCTCCTTCCACTCCTTCAATTCTCAATTCTCGACAAATTCAGGATTTATGATGGTATATTCACATTTAAATTTCTGCCAATCAAAGATTGATTATTTTGGGTTGTTCCTCTGATAATGTTTGCCATTAATGTTATAAATTTACTACTATTTTTTTGCTTCTAATTCAACGTTGGGACGAGGATAGAAAAAAAAGTAGTACTCTGTTGCCCTGTTCTTTTTTATTTCATTTTAATTAGTTAGTGTGGTCCCTAGTTTTTAGATGGTTCTCTTTTTATTAGGAATAATTAAAAATGTTTGTGGTGATGAAGATGAAAGGTCGAATTTGTATATATCATCCTTTGAAAAGGTTTTGAAGGTTTTGAGATGCATTTTCTGGTAATAATAGCTACAACTTTCTGGCTATTTCAAGTATGCATTTTCTTATATAATTTTCTTTAATGTTTGTTACCAATTGCTGGTGAAGTAGTTGTGAAATATTTTATTAGATGCTGATGCGGGTTCATCTCCATGTGTTTTTGAAATTAGCATGAAAAATGGGAAAGGGGGTTTTTTTATTTTTCTATATTCTTTGCTTGTTGATCATTGCGGATCGGAAAAATTGAGGAATTTACTTGTTAGGGAAACTTTTTGTATTTTTAGTATGAAAATGAATAATATTTGTATATTGCAGGAGTGGAAAAAACAAACTAATAACAGAAAAGATCAAGAAAACTTGGTGGAATTGGACAGATTTTCAACTGAATGGAACTACTAAATTGCTAAGCTTGCTTAGCTCCTATTATTTATGATGGTCGAGTGAGATATTATGTTCTGCCATGTCTGCTGGTCTTGTTTTTGTTATTACGCTTTGATTGGTACAATGGAATTACACTTGCATTTTTTAGGAACATTGTCTTCTGATGACTACTAGTTGTAGTTGTGTAAGTAGCATGCCAGTCAATAGCCACTGTTTCTTCATACTTAAGACTGCTTAACTTTCTTATCACCAATGTGTTGCCATTCAGTAATGTGAAAATGTAACTTTAAATGAAGAATATGTGCACAATTTTACTACTGTAGGGGACAAATTTACCTTCCATTCTTGATTTTGGCTTGGAATGTTCACTTTCTTCATTTTACAGATTGTTGATGTTTATTTTCTGGATTTATAAGTTTTATTTTTCTTTTGCTAAGTTCTGAATTATGATGACCAGTTTATTTCTTTTATCAGTTATTAAGCTAGTAGATCAATTTAGCCTAAAAATAATAGTAATAAAGAAGCTAGCAAATCATTTGTTGGATACAGAAAAGAATGCCCGAGAAGTATGAGTCTTGTCTTCATTTGCATTCCATATTCAATTTGTCTAAACATGTGATTATCCCACAAAGTTATTTCTTCTTTTGCTGGCTAAGAATGTCCATTCTGCTTGTAAACATGTGATTGTTGACTTTTACATTTTTGCTGGACTGATCATGACCTATACTTTCTTTAGGTGGATTGTGAGGTAATTTGCTTTTATCATTTGAATCTTGCTTTCAGGTCTTTCAGTTTGCGACTTAAAGGTGCAAAACATGTTGTATATGGCTTGATGTTTGTTTGGTGTCGATAGACAACTAGACCCTTAAATATGGCAGCAAGTTGTGAGAATATATGATCTTGAGCATTCTTTGCAAAAGGTCGAAGAAGCTCTCTTGTAGGGACTGGAGCAACTTCACTTGTACAACCATGAACCATGTGATTAATATCAGATTATTTCACTGGATTTACATATGGGTTTATGCATGCATAATATCTGTTTATGCATGTGGATTTGTGTACGTTTGGCTGCACACCTTTCTACTGATAATTTTCTCTTTAAAAATCAATGAATTGCACAAGATGAGATATTTATGGTTTGTTGGTAACAAGTGATGCAGGTTTTTGTTCAAAACTGTTCTTGAAGTTTTGGGTCAAACGTATCTGCATCCGTAGTAGTTTGCAGGTGGCTGCTGAGCGTGTCCTTGTTCTGAATACTATGAGATCCAAGCTGCCTGTCGCAGTTACTACTACGGATGATGCCAAAGATTCTGTAAAGGAGGAAATTCGTTTGAGGTGAAAACTTTCTGAAAATTTTTGACCATGGGCTTATGTTTTGCTTATCTCTGAAGATTGCTGTTAGAGAAGAGAGTCCAGGACAAAGTGGCAGCGTGTCACCTTTCAATACTAGTGGAATGAAACATCCCAAAACTGGGTTTATACAGTTGAAGCATTTGATCAAGAGTTTTTGTTACATATGAAGGATTTATTTGTAACTGATTGTTTTCTTATCTTTTTCTTTCATGAAATATTGCTTCTTGATTTTGTAGTTATTGTCACATGAGTGAAAAATTGCTTCAAACTTTTCCTCTCTCATAGTTTTATCATGCCATTGGTACTTAATGGAGGAGTTTGAGTTTTAGTTGTGCATAGCTATTATGATGGATGAAATCTTTTTTGAATTTTGCATAAGTATTAGAAATAAGAAAGAATTTTGCTTTATTAAATATATATCAAAACACAGTTGAAAATACCACGGCTGAGATGGGGAAATATTTCTTCACAAAAAGGGATAATGGATCAAAACATGCTAAAGGAAATGCTCACCAAAGAAATTGATATGAGAGTGAGAAAAAATAAATTATTAAAGGCACAAATTGATTTTTTCTTTTAAATCTTTAGTAAAAATTAGCTAAATGTAAGAAAAAAAGAAATTATTATATAGAAAAAAAAAGAAAAATTTTATGTAAGCAATTTTCTTGAAAACAATTCTAATTCCTAATGAATTCTTCTCTCATGCAAACAAAGAATTTGGAATTCCAAATAAATTCCGTATCAATTCTATGCATTTTCCAAACGAAAGAATTGAAATGACTTGGAATTCCAATTCATAGAATTCCAATTCTATAGAATTTTGATTCTAATTCAATTCTAATTCTATAGAACCAAACGTACCCTCAGGGTTTTTGAAAGATAAGATTAATTAAAAAAAGTGTCTAAATATAATGGGTATATAGTAATTATTAGCGTGTGTATCTATACATGGTAAGTTGAGTAAAGCTTAGAATTATTAACGAGTATCCATTGAATATCCGTTAAAAAATATCTCCTTTTTTTTTTTTTTTTGAAATTTACATTGAAACCATACTCTGTCCAGTGTTGAATATAGACTTGACAACTCCAGAAGGATTTGCTGACAAAGAAAAGAAAAATCCAGAAGGATTCCAAATTCATGACTTCCCCCCTTCCGCTTGAAGCTGGAAACCTCCTATACATGGGCTGAATCTGCGAAGTAGTATTTGATTTCTTATCCCATATTAGAAAACAAAAAATGGAGAATTTCTTCTGCAATTTAGCAGTTAAAAAAAATTAATCAAAGGATTTTTCAAGAAACACATGGGTTTCTTTGAATCTGAACCAAAAAGATCAGCCACAGGAGCCTTGTTTCCTTGGAATCCTTTTTAGCCATCCCATCATTTGTTGGGAACGTACTAAGTTGCTATCTCTAGCCCACAGTCTCGAGGTCCATTATCTTCCCACTTTTGACTAAATATAGTGGTACCACTCCGGCAAACAAAAGTGCATCATGTGTTTATCAAGCTTTCGACCTATCACAGATTCGCATGTCTAATTTTTAACCAATTAGCATGCGGGATAGATGATAACGTGTTAAATCTCCCATGTTATGAAAATGGACCTTTAGTACTAAACTAGTTGGAATTAAACCATTATCCCATTTCTTCCCTCAAAAGGGGAAAAGAAAAAAAAAACCCATCTCATTAATTGGAATGCATTTTTTTCTCTCCACAATTATATATTTTTACCTTTCTAATAATTTTTCCTTGCTTCCCTTTTAAAATTAACTATGCTAAATCGTGGATGAAATTGCTCCAAGTTTAGTGGTCGTCGTTTTATTATTAGTAATCTCTTAAAAGGAATGTTCTCAAGTATACTCCTATTTCTTTCTTTCTAAAAGATCAAAACAAATATACTTGATTTTCTCTAAGCCTCTAGACAGTCCTCTCTCTCTCTTCCGGGTAAACCTGACATGCGTTAGAGTAAAACCTAGCTACTTAATTACCGAACACGCCTTGCTCGAATGGTTAAGGTTAATATCCCATAAATTAAAGGTCTTAAGTTCCGTTTCTTGGTGGGGTGGGAGGTCAGGGTTCAACCCTTGCCTCCCACCAAATTGCCACTTTAGGTGGCTCCCTTGCCTCCCCTTCCCCATAGGTTAGAATAGTTTAGGTTATAGGACTTCTACCGTTGCGAAAAAAAAAAGGTTCCTGTTTCTTAAACTCCACCCTACCCTTGTTAAGGAAAATAAAGAAGGTAAAACTTAGTTACTTACAAAATGGAAATAATTAAAACATGTTCCTTAATGCCTTAATACAAAATATTAGCGGCAGACATTACAATCAAACTTTACAAAACGTCTCGATAGCTAGCCGTCTGAATGGTTTCCACCATGAAAATATCATAAACACACTTGGGACAGTGATAATGACCTGCGCTGGTTTGGTCTAAATCAGTAGTAATCTTAGTAGTCTACGTGCAATGCATGAACCTAGTCATGTTTCATATGTGCTACGAGGATATTTACATAACCCCTCGATCTCGAGTGTGTTAATTGTTTATTCAAGAACTAACAAATTCTTCAGAAACTATTCGAGTTGCTTAGTAATATATACTGTTCGTATATATACTAATGGGTTTTTTTTTTTTTTTAATACCGTAGATTCGAGAGTAAAATGGTTCCTTTTTTAACATAACTTGTTATTAGGGTTTTAAAATAATCGACCTCTTAATGAATAGTTTAAGCTCAAAGGGAAAAGGTTTTATCCGACTTTAAATTGACAAGTTTGTATAAAAAGTTAAGAATTGGTTAAATCATGAAACTCGTAGATTTTCGACTCTATAAGCTTGGATGTGTTATTTTATTTTCATTTATTATACCAGTACAATATACGGATACGGTTAATGTCTTTATTTTTTTAATGAAAATTGAAAAATGTGCAACAAAATCCACAAGCTTATATATGCCTAAAGAAGATCGAATCTTACTTGAGCTTAACTCTTAAAACTTGCCTCGAATCCAAAACTTTGAATTGAGCTTGACTGCTTAAAAGTCTGATTAGCTAGGTTAGATTCATTCGGACTCCCACTTGTTAATTTGTTTTTGCAAGGTAATAAATATATTTACAGGTCAATCAAATAAAAAATAGAAATTTTTTATTTTTTATTTTCTGCGACTTGGTATACTTCATTTGTGCTGATCATTTACCAATCATTGTGTCACACATGCAACTTTTCATCTGATCGCACCAAAACTCACATGCAGTACGTCCAGATCTCAATACTACCACATGATTTCCCAACACAAATTTCTATTTGATTAGCAATCTTGACGTGAAAATTTGTCCTTACACTGCTGGAATTTCTCTGTTGATGGAAACTGTGAGCTATGTCTATGATGCCTAGAAAGAAAGGCAGCTACTTTGTGAAACTATTCTAGTCCATGCATTGTCCGGTCCGGAACCGTTTCAGAAACAACGGCTTAGCAACAAAAGTTACTTTAAGATATCCTATAGCGGTTTCAGATTTCGATCTCATCATCTAGTTTGTAAACATATATAGCTTTTGATATTTGTGTGGAGTGGATAGGATGGAAACTTGTATTGGCAGAGTGGACCAAACCAAATCTCACAAGTTTCTTCTTGAGTATCTAAAATTGGGATTTTGTTCCTCTTCTTTTTTTTTTTTTTTTCACTCTAAACGTGATTTTGGAGGGATAATGGAAATGGGTTCGAATGAATTCCAAATACTGATCTCGGTGTGAGAATTTTAATTTGGGTTTACTTTCACACACACACATAGTGGTTATTAATATATATATAGGGTTGGTCCAGTGACCAAATAAATGTACTCTTTTTTCTATCATATATAAGATTCGAATTTTGGATCTGACAATTGAGTACCGGGGGAAGGGGTTGAAGGCGTGTGTGAGCGGGAATTGGTTTTCTTTTGTCCCAAAGTTGTATGCAAAATTCCAGAGGCGTACATCTGTTAGTATTCGTTTATTTCTTTTTTAGGACTCTGTGCCACAAAGTAGCCAGTCTCCCTGCCAGGTCACTTTGTGCGATGCTCTTGGAGAAGGTGTGCTCAAGTGATAGTAATCTGTATCACAGCAGTATCAATTTACCTCATAATAATTGATGTCGGACCAAAAAGAAGAATTCAATAATTGAAGATATTTTGGTCAGAAAGATTAATTAAGTTCATTGCTTGCAAACTCAACAAATTTCAACGAAATCAATGCACAGAAAAATGCAATGAGAAATGTAGTCAAGGACTCAAGGCCACGCTTGAGGGGCATTCCGCAATACGTACATTAGTTTGCTTGAATGAGTTGAGTTGTATCGTAGACTTGTAGTCTGTGGATGAGAATGCTTGCAAGCTCAGCCATCGGACCCGGGAATGGACTTCTTTTTCATGCCATTCAAAGAATCTAAGCCAAGACGCCATCCAAGCTATAAATGAGAAAAAAAAAAAAAATGAAGCAATGGCTTAATTAGATTGCTTGTCAACTCTTTTTAACAGATTAAGTTGCTATGATCATGGTGATGTCTACGTTATGATGTAAGAAGACCTACAACAAAAATACTGAATTGAAAGTGCTCAATTATTCAATCTCAGCAAATCAGATATGCAGGTGTGACACCACAAATGCAGCTACACTTTTTCGAGGGGCAAATCTAAAAATTGGGTAGTGTCCTTTTGGCCCTGATGATCTGTACATAATGACAACTCTTCCACGAGAGTCTTTTCAAAAGTAATCCATGGACAAAGACCCTCGTGTCTCAAGCACTTATCCTTCTATAAGTTTTTTTTTTTTTTTTTTTTCCTTTTTTCTTTTTTTCCCCTCAATTCATGGGAAGTGTGATTAGGGTCTCAATTCATGGGAAGTGTGGATTAGATCTCAATAGTAATAGATTAGCAGTATTGGGAATCCATTCAAGTTTTGTTTGGCATGGTTCTCTCAATGTACCATGGAACCACAACTTTATGTTTGTAAAAGAATCACCATTCGTTTGTTTGTCAAGGCCCGATTTTGATACCAGCAAGTTGGTATCTGAAACTTGAAGGGTGAAAAAAAAAAAAGGAATTGTGACAACATTTGTACTTGATTTCACGGGCAAAATATTCCACAGTGAACTGTAATAATTTCTTGGTATATGCAATCATCATTTACCGCAGTGAAAAACAATTAGGATTACACACCAGTCGTAGAGAGCTTTGAACGTTCAAAAAAATAGAAAAACGCAGTCCCGAAGATCATACAATAGATGTATATATCAAATTGAAAAGGGCCAGAAAGTGAAAACATGTACAAAGCTAGATGCAGCATTGAAATCATCTTTCTGATGAACAAAGCTTAGGAAAAACCCAAAAGTAAAAGTATCGTGCTGCTTGAGAAGACATCCTGTAGTTTCACCACATCATTTTCTCCAGTGCGCAGTACATATCATGCTTGGGTATATGGTATTACCTATTTCCTCTAAATTCACTATTGCAGATACAACAAAGTAAGCAAATTAACAAAGTAACCACGCAGAAGGTCAAGTTGTTCATCAAGCGATGCTAACCTTCTGACATGGAGAACCTTGGCTATCCTCTTTAAAATGTCTATCCTCGTTGAATGGACACTTAAAAGCGCTAGAACACCTATTGCCATGCACCGATTCTTTTTACTCCAGAAAAATTCTGGTTGATCCTTAGCCGTGGCTGAAGAAACGAGTCATGAAAGTTTAACAAAAAAAGGCGTTCATAAACTATCAAAGTAGGCAACATCTCCCTAGAGTGGTTGAAGTTCTTGCTCAGGTACAGCAGCATCCACAGGCTTGTATGCAACAAGTGATTGTTGCCTTCTCCACATAATCCACGCTCCAGAAGCAGCTAATCCAAGTACTATTATAACAAGAAAAGCTACAAATATAACGAAGTAATTTTGCAGCCACCACGTCCTGAGAGTACCAGCATAAACCAATAGTGAATAAGTTAAAAAAAAATGGCCCCAAAAAAAAAAAAAGCTGTGTCCGGGCAATGTGAGAGACAGAGAGAGATTCGCTATCCTCCAAGAATTCCCAGAAATGGCAAGCAGAAGAGCTCACAGGATGTAAAATTTTACCAACCACCCTGCAAACTAGACTAGTCCTCGTAATCACACTTCTTGTTGGAAAAAAACTCAAGATTGGAGAGTACAGTTAGACAAGATTTGATCATTTTCAAATTCACACTCAATGTGGTTTACGATTACGTCGTCATTTCCATATTAAAACTTCTGTTAAGTTACTGTAGTTTGTTGTTTGTCTCACAAAGAGATATAAGTTTTTCAACAAAATATAGCAATCATGAAGCAATAAGAATTGATGCACTGCACCGTTTCTTTAGATAATTTTGAGTTTCACAACATAAACTGACCACCAAGTTTGCCTTTTCAAGTATAACTATCCGTTTGCCAATCCATATGTCTGCATGTGTGTGGGAGGACGACTAGAGATTGAAAAATGAGTGGGTCTAAATCTAATTCTCGGTAAATTCACAGAAAGGTTAGTTTCAAAAACCTTATTAGCAGCAGAATGTAGAAGTGAAAATCCTGAGCTATATACACACTATGTGAAAGAAAAATACTCTCTATTGTTGAGTGCACCAAGGCATCTTACAGCTCACCAAATTAACAACAGCTAATATGGAAGAGAATTGTCATATGTGTGGTCAGAGACAGGCCAACAGAGATGAAGCATTTTATTAGCAATGAAGTGCCAAAAATTTTCAGTCACTTATGGAAATTATACAGTAGAAAACCCAAATTATGGACCCCAAAAAAAAAAAAAGGTAACAAGCAAAAACATATCAACTAAAATCATGAGCAATGCAAAGAACCAAAGTGTGTAATTTCCAATACATGAATATAAATTATCCAATCCCCTCCCCCCCCCCCCCCCCCCAATCCCCAAAAAAAAAAAAAAAATCCCCAACCTCTTTCACACAATGGCAGGAACTTTTTCTTCCATTCCAGAAAGCAAAGCTGTAGGAAATGACAGGCGATGAATATCGTAAATTAGAACTACCCAAGGTACAAGAAGCGTATCTTCGAAACTGTGACTTACGAGAATCATCAAATGTCAAAATTAAATAGCTTATAGGTCAAGCCTCTCAAAGTTTTGCTTCAAATGAGATGCAAAAAATTAGCTTCTGTATCCTTGAATAACCCCAACCCATGATCCACAATCGTAAAAACTTAATAGCAAAGAAAAAACAGAGAGATGTAATCACAAAATGATAAAAGACAACAATGATGATAAACAGTGGGACAAATCAGGTTGAAAAGGAGCACAATGGTAAAGATGGGGCTACCGTCTTTGAGGAGGCTCAATATTCCACTCAAAAAATTTGTAATTTCCATACGTATCAGGAAGATGCACACGATTTTCTGCCAACCGCGATATTATATCCTGTTCAAACCAAATGCAATAACCAGAGCTTTATTCTCTATTACGAAAATCAAATCAATTATAAAACCACATAATTACCATTGCAGTTGCGTTGGACATGAAATCTGCAGACCCTGCAGGATATATAGCCCATCTAATAAGTGAATCATTTCCTTTGGATGTGAAATTAAGCAAGTGAACCTGCAAACACTCAACCAAGTACAAGTCAGTAACATCACTGCAGTGTGGTTATGAGCAATGAACTGTACAAGGCTAATATATGATTCACAAACTCAGAGCTAAATAACCTGTGAAGCATTGACATCTAACTCCTTTGCCATGTTTTGGGCAAGTTCTGGAATGTGAGGCTTCAAGTCTGAAATATTGACACTCAGTGACATATAAAATGTTATATGTCCAGCTCTAAACTCCCCTGCAAAAGGTACAACCACAAAAGAGATATCAACAAGGAATGCTTGACACAGTCTATCAGACAATAAAATGACGATCAACAACGATGCATTTCAATGAAAAACTAAAACTAAAACTAAAAGACAATTTAGGAACAGCAAAAATTTGGACAACCGTGGTAATCCAGCTTGTTAATTGTATAACCAGTTAACCACCAGTAGAGATCACAATATTACAAAAGAAGACATTCATGAGGATTGCGGGCCACAAAACCAGCACAGGGATTGTACATGTGGGTGACAATTCCAGTTTAAGTTGTTGGCATCTAAAGGTGCACTTTCAGAACAGAACCTTACATGAAAAAATAGATCGACACTCATATAAGAAGCGACAGATGAATCAAGGTTGAGGCTAACAAGAGACAAAATTAACGTTGAGGCTACAACTGGCAGCAATATGTAAAGACTTTCAGATGTCTATCACTAACTTTACGTACGGATGAAATGTTCAAACCAATCATTCAAGCTAGTTAAATTGTTGGGGCAAACATTGTTTCTGATACTTCATCTAGTCAACCCAAAAATCATCAACTTATTAGGTGCTTCTGGGGATCTACTGCAGTGAGACTGAGATACAATATTGGAGTGCATGACATTTAGAAAATGTCAAAGGGCAGGAGAGAATTCTAGAAGCTCAGTCTTCTTGAAATATAATTGCACAATGCACCAAAAAAAAAATATTACTAACTGTAAATGCATAGATCTCTCTCCTTATTATCAAAAGGGATGCTTGAAAATTGTCCAATAAGGCTTCAATGCATGAAAACTACAAAACAAAGTTAAGAATGAAAAGGTGGGCGACCTTTAAGTACATATTGGTTTTGCACCAATACTTCAAAACATTCCCAAATCACATTTAAAAAAAAAAAAAAAAAAAGAAACCAATGATGATCCAATTACTACCAAAATTTAGCCTTATAAAGGAGCATGAAACCATCATTTAACAAAGTTAAATCTCAAAGACACAACATCCTACCATTGTATAGTGGTTGATCTGCAGGAGCGGTCGCAGGAGACACATTAGAAGTGAAGTTAGTATTGTTCAACTCTGAGGGCAGAGGTGGAGGTGCATTGGATATGTGAAGCCTTTCCCATAAATGAGAACAATTGGTTTTCCAGAAACCAATCTTTTCATGTTCACGATCATATGTTACAAGAGTATTGCGCACAATAATTCCTGTAAAAAAGTCAGATGTATGGATGCTAACTGTAATACTAAGGATGTAAAAGAGAGCAAGCTTTTCCAGAATAGTTGCATGGGTAACGTATTATTCGCAAAAAAAATTATTTGATTGCATCATAAACACAATTTTCAACCTTCTTTTTATCTTTTCAACCACCTTTTTATCTCACATACAGCACATTACAAAAAGTGATGCAATGTTTTTCCAAAAAAAATTATCCCAAACAATCCCCTATCCGAACAAACTCACTGACTTGAGAAAGGGCTTTGGAGGAACATGTTAGAGCTCTGTACCTCCTAAAAGAGTTGTTGGATCTTTCCCATTCTGAAAGATCCCCAGGCAATATGCACCTCGCACTTTTGAATGCTTTAAGTGGGAAAACATGAAAAAACACCAAAATGGGGGAAAATATTAGTCATCACATCAGAAAGAAGTGGCGCAAGCATTAGTAGATACAAGAAACAGCAACTTTGCAGCAAAGTATGACAAAGGATGAAAAGTGGGCAAAATATCTACCCGGAACAAGTAATTTTCAGGGGTAAGAGAGAGCTTCTGTCCATTGCCAAATACCATTTCAACAGCAGGAAATGTTTTTGAGAGTTGTGACGCATCACTGAATCGACACAGGTTATTAGGTTACTACATGCTTCAAGAAGGTCTAAAAGACTTTATTCTAGAAACATTTATAATACCTTCCAGCACCAGAAAAGCAAGTGTCTTTGTAATTTGGATCTGGACCTTGGATCTGTTTTAACGAAGGGACTTCCTTCATTATCTGCATGCAAAATTTAAGATAGGATATTGTCAGCACGCTTTGGTCATAACCATAATTTATGAGAGCTTTTCAGCACAAATAAAATGAGTTGAGAAAATCCCACCACATGCTACAATTAGAAAAATGAAAAATGTTTGAAAAGGTCAGAAAGAGGAGACACACTCCATATTCGTAAGCAGGCACATAGTCTCATGCATGCACAGGGGGGAAGCACATAATACATGTGGACTAACCTTTAAAGAGATGATGACCTCAGGTTCATAAGGTCAATACCATTTCTTACCAGAATAAGGCAGCATGAAGGCTCAGATACTCAGACAACATATTTATCTATTATTTTGGGAAAGGGAAAGAGTTACACTTATTTTGCGAAATTAAGGGGGAGAAAAAGGAAAATCAAACAAGAATCTCATCATATCCAAGTGATACAATGGCAAACATGAATTGATACAGGCAACATTAAAGACTAGAAATGGAAAAAATATGATAAATTTTCATTCCTCTGAAGTCAGAATATAAAGGACCACAAGATTGTCTAAGTTAACATGTTGAAACTTATGCATTGTACTTTAACTCGTTTATTAGTATAGTATGAAAAATGTATAGTAATGAATTAAAACCATGACAAAGTACAGGACAAGATGGTGCATCACGCCCATGTGTCTTGAAGTAAGAGTTGTATGCAAAGATTGCATCACTATTAAACCGTGGCAAGCAAAACAGATTGCACATCTTAAAAAGAAAAATGGGGAAAAAAAATGGCAAACAACAGTACCAACAAGCATAGTCAGACAACAGAAGCTGACACTTACAGCAGCTTTGAATGCTTTAAATGCTTCTTCTGGTAGGTAAGCATATGTGGTACCACTATCAAGTACAGTTCCATGTTTTCGATCAAAAACCTGTCGTTCTAAACGCAATGCCTTTCCAGCAACATGTATCTCCTTCAGCTCGATGTTGTAGTAAGGACTGTTGCCATCCCAAGACTAGAGTAAATGTGTGAGATGTAAAAGTGCATGTGTTAGGAGAACACCTAACATTTTGATTAATAAGTTAAGTATTGATGAATGTACCTGCGCTCAGGGTCTGAGCGGGTATAGACCATGTCAGCAGGAGGTGAAATTCCACCAAGGACCATTGCACCTCCTCCGACATCCATGCCTCCATAACATAAAGAAAAAGAATCACTAATGACACCTTTTCCAACAAGTTGATCGACAATACTGAGATCTCCACGACCCAAGCCCATTATGCCATCAGCATGCTGACTATATAAATCACCAGTTTCCATATTTTCACAGCCAAATACTGCTCGCTGAGGTGAAAGTTCACTTAGGTTACCAAAGGACACGATATCCTCCCCAAGGATCCCACTGCTGGAACTCATTTCTGCATATTGCCTATCATAAATACAGTTCTCTCTCTCACTGTCGCACTTGCACTCAATGTTGCATTTCAAGGATTGATAGCTAGTAGACAATTCTGGCTGAAACCTCGGGTCCTAATGGTCATGAAGATAGAGAGAAAGCAATAACGATCAACTCTAATTGCAATATCCATATTTTTAAAGCTCAATATATTCCACTCAATTTCCCCAAATAAGCAAACGAAATCATACACCACAAAATAACAAATCTCGATGCACAAGCACAAACAAACACAAAGTAAATGGCCAATCATGATATTCTGGCATTTCCTGGCCACCTACTCTGGCAACCACTACGCCAAAACTACGTTCAACAAGAAGATATTTTGTTTATTTTTGGCCTGTAATTGCAACCGGATGCATCAGACGTCACACAAAAATCTCAACTTGATACCAAATACCGTTATAAACTATTGTCTCCAATTCATCATAACTGAACGACTCCATCTATATGTTAATAAAAAAAAACACAAAAAGAAAAGAAAAGAAAAAGTCTCAATGACATAAAGTGAATGATTAACCAATACTCAAGCACACAAAACCTTTCAATTGTAACAGAAAAATAAAATAAAATAAAATAAAATGAAAAGGCATTCTCATCTATTCAAACGTAACTGATTGACTACGTGAATTAACTGAAACTTAGCTGAACTCACCTGATGCTTGCCGCACTGTTCACAAGTGGAACAAGGCACATAAGTAACAGTACTCCCCGTATCCACTATCAGAGCGAATTCCTGCGGCGGCGTTCCGATCCACAACCGCGTCGTGTAATAACTGCATCATAAAACTCCAAATCAAACACTGATTTCATTTATCCGTGTTAAAATTCAGAACTCAAACGAGATAGTGGAGCTGAATTGAATTGAAGAGTAAGCCGAAGAACCGACCCGTTGAGTAAGAGATCATCGTGAAGCGACATGCGAGCGTTCGGGCGGCGGCTCTGGAGGTGGCGACGGGACTGTTGGACAGAAACTTCGTAAGAGGAGGAGTAGTGGTTGATCCGAGGAGGCGAGAGGAAAAGAGGGAGGAACATGGTGGTGTGGTGAGTATTGTCGGCAGTTCCACCTTCACCGCCGGAGTTAGGAAAAATAAAGGTTTTATTGAAATCCAGCTGCGAAATTTGAAGCGAGAAAACTGCGTCACCGAAGTTTAATACGACGACGTAGAAGAGGATCAGAATTATTGTCTTGACCGCCGGAGTAAATCTTGCCCGTGCCATTTGGTCGGGCGATTGAGAAATCAGAACTACCTAGTATGATAAGGTTCTTCTGCTTATTTCTCTGTATCTTTTTTTTTTTTTGTTTATTTTGAATTTAAAAAGAATTCTGGTCTTCGCCTATCGGGCTTGGTCCGGCGGGGCTAGTGGGGTAGGAGGAGGGAAGGGAGGTTGAAGAAGAAGCTGCCCCTAACCGAACGAAATGTTGACTTGGCAACCTTCGTGAGTGTTAACTGAAGGAAGGAAGGCATTATCAGCGCTTTTCTTCTTTTGTGTGTGTGTGTGTGTGTGTTTTTTTTTGGGATAAGTACTCATTACCCCCTATAGTTTTACATAATGTCAAATGATCTCTTTAAAGTTTTGAAATAATCACATAATCCTTTTGTGATTATATATATAGAGTAGAACATAGATGGAATGTATAATCAGTTACGATATTTATACTAAATGCACTTTAAAAACACATGTGATAAAATGCTAATATTCATATAACTCTCTTATTGATTGTATAAATATTCACTTAATCTCTCTTTAATTTTTGCATATATCTACATAATTTCACCTATGTTTTATATATGGTGGTTAAGCCATTGATTGATTTGACATTTAAAAAGGGCGCTATTGGTATTTCACCTAACAACCTTTCATAGGCTATTTTTCATCAAATTTTCACTTTACATAAAAATTATAGGGGGTGAAATGGATATTTTAAAATATTATGAAGTCGTGTGACAATAAATGAATCCATAGGTGGTTATATGTAATTTATCCTTGTTTGGGATATAGTGATATACTACTCATATTTGGATTTTTTTTTTCGGATTAAATATTGGGAGGGATTAGATTAATTGACTTAAATAATACAAGTGTAACAGATATTTTGATTTGCAGATTTGATTTATATATATTATTTTTGGGTGGAATTATTAATTGTTATTGAATTGAAAGTATAAAAATGTAGGTCTGTTTACTCTCTCTTGGCCACTGATTTTTCATTAATATTAACAAGTGTTGTATGATCTGTTACAACTTGGGACTAGATTTTTTTTTTTTGGGTCCTACTAAAAAACTTGTCTGGCATTGATACAGTAAAGGTATTGCAATCTGATACAAATAAACGAACTTGGAGGCTGGAGCAGTTATGTTATATTCAATCCTCTGCTGTTGTTGCATTTGTTATAATCTTTAATTTATAATCACATTATATTATATATATATTTTGTTCACAAATACAACAAATAATTGTGATTCTATACCAAATAGTATAACAAATAGGAAAAATCATTCAAAATATCTATCACATTACGCCAAATGAATTTTTTCATTTTTTACTTTTAAAATGGTAACTTTATGTTCCTTATAAACTCAAGTTGATTAAATTTAGTCCCACCTTAGATTTTCACTCACTTTTTACTCTAAATTCATCACATGATCCACACATAGGGCCTGTTTGGAACCTGAATTTTTTGGGAGTTTGTCTAAAACTTTACTGTAGTGCACTGTAGAAGTTTTTAAAAAAATTTTGTAGAAATTTTTGTAAGGTGAAAAATTTTGTAGAAGTTTTTGTAAGATGAAAAACTTTTTTTTTTCTCTTTCCCTTTCTTTTTCTTTTTCTTTTTCTTTCTTTCCTTTTTCTTTTCTTTCCTCTCCTTTTCTTCTTCTTTTTCTTCTTCTTCTTCTTCTTCTTCTTCCCCGTTACCTCCGCTACCCCCAGCTGCAACTCCACCTCCCGCTTCCCCCTCCCTACCGCCTTCCCCCTCCCTCCTCTGCCCCCCCCGCCGCCTCTCTCTGCACCACCCCTCTCTGCGCCGGATGTAGAGAGAAAAAAAAAGACAAGAGAGGATGATGGCAGGGGAGGAAGAGGGGGAGAGGGAAAAAAAAAAGACCGGCACCGGAAATTGGTGATGGAGCTGGCAATGGAGGTGGTGGTGGGGGAGGAAGAAGAAAAAAAGGGGAAGCGAATTTTTTTTTTTTTTTTGTGTTTTGGATATTTTAAGTGTGTAGGTTAAAATTTTTGATAAGTTTTTTGGGGTTCCAGTAGCAAAAGTTGTTAAAAAACTAGTTTTATACAAATTTGGTAAAAAACCAAGTTTCCAAACAGGGCCATAGTCATTTTTTTAAGGATAAAAATGTTACTATATCCTATTTGTATTTAAATAAATAACCCGATTTATATTCATTTTTGCTTTAAAAAAGTAAGATCTAATCGAATTATATTTATTTTTCCTAAAAAGGTGAGTTTGGACCCAATTCATACTTATTTTTTCCATTAAAGCAGTGGAATCTAACTTTTTTGCATATGAAAGATAATTGCATGTAAATCACATGATGATTTTAGGGGAAATAGTGGTAAAAAACTTAGGTTGGGAATATATATTGCTAACTTGAATTTGTAAGGGATATAAAAATGACATTTTAAAAGTGAATGAAGAAAAAATTCATTTACAAAAATGTGAAAGACTTTTTGAACAAATTTTCCTAACAAATATAATAATTGCAAAGAGCAAAACGAAATTACAGACTTATCTGCCCTAAGTTGCAAACAAACAATCTAGACAAAGAATACAATAAATAAAAATAAAGTAAGCATGCTTAGGGATGGCAATTGCGGGCACCTGTCCCGCAGAGGGCTAATAGGGGCGCGGGAGGTGGGGCGGGAAGGGGCGGATTTTTCCTCTCGGTTAAAAAACAAGGCCGGGGGAGGGGGGGAATATACCCTTACTCCATCCCTGCCCTACCATCCATTAGAAAAATTAGGGTCCTATTTGGTAAGTGAGTTTTTTGGATTTTATCCAAACTTTACTGTAACTTACTGTAGAAGTTGTAAAAAAATTTTTGAAATGTGTAAATATTTGGATATTTTGAAGTATATAGTTTAAAATTTTTGAGATTACTGTAACTAAAGTTGTTAAAAAACTTGTAACAAACAAACTTGACAAAAAACCTTGCTTGCCAAAAAGGTCTAGATTTATAGATGTATATGTGTGCGTGCGCGTGTGTGTATATATATATGAGTAAATCTTATATATACTGTCAGTATATACACTATCATCATTAGATGGACGACATATGATCAAAATTTTAATTTCAAATTCAAATTTTGAGCATGTGTCATGTATCTAACAATGATTATATATACACTAACAGTATATACAAGATTAATCCTATACATATATATAATTTAATTAGGTATAAACATATTGTTAGGATATATAACATTAATAATTATACATATATACTAATAAAAATTATTAATTAGTTATATTAAATTTACTAATACATTTATATTACATTTTTAATGGCAATTAAAGAAGGAAATTGAAGACTTAATGACTAATGGCATGTTTTGATAGAATGATTCTTAAAATTCAAAAGTGATAACTTAACTACTCTAGTTGTATTTATCTCATCATGTTGTTGGATTGTATTCAAATAACTTTTGTTTGATTGTTTTTATTGGTTTCAATTGTGAAATTATAATAAATAATGATTTGATTATATGTTGGTATTTTAAGTACTTGATTTTTGACAAAAAAATATTGATTACAATACAATTATAGGACACATTTTTATTAGTTCCCGCAAGTGCCTCGCGGGGACAACAGAGCGAGTCTGGGCGGGAAAGACTGGGAGGCATTGGGCTGGGGGACCACGCTGCCCCGTTGCCATTCCTAAGCACGCTACATCAACAGAACTAGCTAGAACATAATCTTTGGCGTAACTCACAATTTAGACTCAGATCCCATTTCCCAATCAGTGTGACCATCGATATCTTTCTCCTAGACGTAGATCCCATGCTTAAGATCTATGTGGGTGCTGTGCACCCGTATGGTCCGATGGTGGTTTAGTCCCCATCGATTTCCCGTGACCCTGTTGGGTCCCTCCCCTAGTATAGGCTAGATTAGGATTAGGAGTAGGTATAGATGTAGATGATGATAAGTGACCCAAAAAAAAAAAAGTAGATCCCATGCTACATCAACAGAGCTAGCAAGAAAATATATATTTAGGGTAACTCACAATTTAGACCTAGCATGGCCATCTTTCTGCCAATTTTTGCTTGGTTGTGCCATCTGTTTCCAGCCCACAACAATATAGTTCTTGAAGCCAGTGACAATGCAATACCTTGAAGGTCTGATCAACTTATGGAAAATGGCCTTTTTTTATACCGAGTAGTCCTCTAAACTTCACAAGTGTAGGGAAAGAGGAAGAAGAGATGGTTCATGGACTCATTTCCTAATTCTAATCCACAAAAAAACACAAGTAGCATTGTGAATCTATGTTAACATATTAATCACAAGATATATGAAAATTCCGCTACTGATATGAGAGTTGCGTTAGTTGGCGATTTATAAGAATTCTTATAAACTACCTATGATCTTAGAGGTATAATCTAATTCGTAATATGATCGGAGTCGAACCTACCTAAACTTTTTTGTTACGAAAAGAAAAAAAGATACACGAAATATATGGGAATATCATCTTTATGTCACACCACGTTATACTAGTCCACATGCAGCACAATATCTTGAAGAATTTCATAAGCAGTCATTGCAATGATCTGCCTGATCAACACGAGGAATTAGAGAATGAGATGGAATGGATGAACTAATTTAATAACTTCAGCTGGACTCGGTCTTCCACAGGGCATTTCCACTGAGACCATCAACAATATTAGCAATTGCAGTTTGTTTGGATAGAGTGTTATTTGAATTAATTACTGTAGAACTTTTTGTGATGTGATGTATGTGAAATAAAAAATTGGTTGGGAATATAAAAAGGTGAGTTGAGAAATGTGTTTATGATGCAAGCAAAATATATATTATTTGGAATAATATGGTATCCAAACAAACCATTTGTATATTACACCCCAACGCTCACTAAAGATTTTCAGAAAACATACTTGTTGGGATCATATTTGGATACCAATTGTCATACTAAAGGATGTACTGCTCCACTGCCAATAATGTTCTGAATAAAAGGTCTGATAAAAGCTCGTAATTTTGAGAACTTGGAATTGGATATCTGTCTTACTCCTTAAAGATTTGTGTGAAAAAAAATTTCATTGTAAGTGTTAAACATGTGCTATTTTGTCAAGAATTCATCTAAGGTCTCAAGCCAATGTACGTTATTACGAGTTTTTCTAATTCTCTATTGAGTTCAGCAATCATCTAGTTTTTCTTCCCTGTGAATTTAGAGAAAATTCCAAGATTATGATGAATTCTA